ACCACATCACTCCATTTCTTTTCTAGCCCGTGCTGCGCCCGCTTAGCCCCCTCCATCCGGCCGAACAAAAGCTGTGTTGGCAAGCGGTGGCTAGGCATGCGGGCTACATGACCCAGCCATCGCAGCCTTGCCGGCCGGAGGAGCTCACCGATGGGACCTTGCCCAGATCTTTCAAGGATTTGTGAGCTCCTCACACAATCCAGTCTGGTTAAACCCAGGATGGATCGTAGGCAGGCCAGCCTAAATGTTTCTAACCGGCGAAGATGTTCCATTAGGGGGGTCCACGTTTTGCAAATGTAGAGAAGGGAGGGAATTACCGTGGCCGAGAAGACCTGAAGCTTAGTGCGGAGCGACAGACCAGGTAGCTTCCACACAGCGTTACGCAACCGATGAAAAGATATTGCCGCTCGACTGATTTGGAGTGAGACCTCTGCTGTTAAACTGGAGCCGGTCATAAGCACACTTCCCAGGTATGGGAAACTCTCCACTCTCTCCACAACTGCCCCATCACCGATTGGAAGTTGTGGGGGTGGAGTGTCCGATGGTACAAAATACCCAGGCCGGTGCTTAGTTTTGGTAGGGCTGATGGTAAGGCCCCATCTCTTAGTGGCACGCTCCAGTCTCAGCAGCAGCGTCTCCAACTTCTCCTCTGAATGAGCAGCTATTACCAAATCATCAGCATATATAACGTGGTTGAGCAATAGGGAGCCATCCCTTGACCGCACCCGGGCATCGATCAGCCTCCCATAATATCTGTACCATATGGAGATTCCCCCGGTACAGCTATTGAAGGCTTCATGAACTACGTGGTCGAAATAGATGTTAAATAATGTGGGAGCCAGAGGACACCCCTGTTGCACCCCAAGGTGTACACGGAAAGGCTCGGACTCCCGGCCACGTAGTTTTACCCGGGCCCGCTCACCATCATGAAGGTCCTTAATGATCGTGAGCAGATGGTCAGGTACTCCAAAAGCACGAAGAACAACCCAGAGCCCAGGCCGATTGATGGTATCATAGGCCGTGACCAGGTCAATAAAGCAGAGATGTAGATCTTGCTGGAATTCCCTACACCTCTGCTGCAGCAGATGGACAGAAAATATGGCATCTGTGCAGGACCGCCCTTTCCTGAAACCGCACTGGGGCTCCGCAAGCCTCTCCTCAGCGTGCCTGGCAAGGCGATGTTGAATAATCCTTGCCAGGACCTTTCCCGGCACACTGAGGAGTGAAATGCCCCTGTAGTTGTTACAGTCTGTGCGTTCCCCTTCTTAAAGAGGGGGACCACCAGGGCATCCTTCCAATCCTGCGGAACCCGTCCAGTGGTCCAGACTGTTGTTATGATGTCATATAGGGCAGTCTGTGCACAAACTCCACCCTCCCTCAGCATTTCGCTTGGGAGATCATCTGTGCCCGATGCCTTTCCTGGTCTCAGACTCCGGATCGCCCTCAGTACTTCCTCAACAGATGGCACCTCAGCCAGCCACTCACAGGGGGTGACTTCTTCCAATATTTGAGGCACCGCAGCCTCAGCAGGGTCATCCTCACTTTGTGCCACCATGTTTTCCAGGCTGAGGGATTTTCCCTCCCCCAGGACCTCACAGAAATGCTCAGCAAATCTGCAAACCTGTTCCTGGGATCGGAGATTGGATCACCGCTTTTTCCCCTAATGATGGTAATAGGTGTGGCGCTGCAGGTTACTTTTTTGATGGAGTTAAATAGAGATTTGTGGTCGCGGGCCACTGAGGCAGACTCCATCTCCTCAGCAACCCGCGACCACCACCCATCCTTGCAGCGCCTCACGGCTCTCCGAACCTCCGAGCGAAGGTTGCAGTAAGCCTCCTCATTCTCTGACGTGGGATTCTGTAGCCGATGACAGTGAGCCTGTCGCTTTTTCTCAACCATCCTGAACACCTCCTCTGTCAGCCAGGGTCTCTGGGGAGGTCCTGACCGCGTACCCATAGCAGACATTGCAGCCGCATGAGTCACAGTTCTAAACCTCGCCCATTTACCCTCGACATCAGGAGGAGTGGGGGACAATACCAACCCCAGCCGCAGGCGATGATTAAATTCTCGCTTGCAACTTTCATCAGATAACCGAGACCAGGCCACTTTTGGTTGGAATGGGGTCCTTGGGTGTACACCCACCACCGGAGCAGAAGAATGGGCGGCGCATCTTACAGATGACTAGTCGATGGTCAGAGGGCAGATCAGCTCCATGGTAGGTCCTGGTGTCAAGGACATGGGCTGGCATCCGCTGGTCCATCACTATGTAGTCCAGCATATGTTCTTGCTTGGACCCGGCATGCATCCATGATGTTGTGTGGATGCGCCGATGCCGGAACAGCGTGTTGGTAATTACAAGCCCATGGGCTGCACAAAAATCTAGCAGCCTCCTACCATTGTTATTGAGCTGATCTGGCCCATGCCCTCCAATCACTCCAGACCAGGTGCCAGCATCATGACCAACTCGGGCATTTAAGTCACCCAACATGATGACTCTATCCCGAGGGGCCACTTTAGCCAGCACCTGTGACAGGTCATAGAAGGAATCTGACTCATCGGCTTTGCCTGCATCCCTCCACGGATGTTCATCTTCGGTGGGGGCATAAGTAACCACGACCACCATTCCTCGCCTCCGGTTGATGGAAAGGCGAGCCCAAAGTAGCCTGGGGCTTACAGCTTCCCACACCTCACCGCCACGCTCCCACGCCCCCTTCATTCTTTTGTTCAAAAGAAGAGCCACACCCTGTTGTTTGGCAGTCTCCTGCCCCGACCCGAGTAGAGGACTGTCCACCCCTCATGGTGGCAGGAGCCAGAACCGTTCCACCGGACCTTCTGAATGCCACACAGATCCAGGCGGTACCGGTCCAGCTCCCGACAGAGGAGTGGCAGCCTCTCTTCCGCAGTGAGCGTTCGAACATTCCACGTGGCCACCCGTAGTGGTTTTTCGTTGTTTCTGGAGGAGCCCCGAGGGTAGATATTCAATCGCCTGGCTCTGCCAATTGGGGTTTGGCCAGGAGACGTCATAGACGCCTGGCCCCCCAGGGCCTCCGGCACAAGCTTATTAGTTATATACTTAATTCGCGGTTTAGTGGTAATTGAAGGTGGAGGGGTTACCAGCCCCTCGCACCCATCCAGAGCCCCCGTTAGCCCCTGTGGACACAGATGCCATGAGAGGAGGAGCCAATCGAAATTGGACCTCCCCCCACCGCAATGTCCACGACAGAGTTGCCTGTCCGGCACCACGAGGAGTTAGGTGGCTCAGTGCTGAGACCCTGGGAACCCCCTAGCCCCGCTGCCCTTGTGAGGGCCGGGACTCTGTGTGGCTCAGTGCTGAGACCCTGGGAACCCCCTAGCCCCGCTGCCCTTGTAAGGGCCGGGACTCTGTGTGGCTCAGTGCTGAGACCCTGGGAACCCCCTAGCCCCGCTGCCCTTGTGAGGGCCGCGACTCTGTGTGACCCAGTGCCGAGACCCTGGGAACCCCCTAGCCCCGCTGCCCTTGTGAGGGCCGCGACTCTGTGGCCCAGTGCCGAGACCCTGGGAACCCCCCGGCCCCGCTGCCCTTGTGAGGGCCGCGACTCTGTGTGACCCAGTGCCGAGAACCTGGGAACCCCCTAGCCCCGCTGCCCTTGTGAGGGCCGGGCCTCTGTGTGACCCAGTGCCGAGACCCCGGGAACCCCCTAGTCCCGCTGCCCTCGCGAGGGCCGCGGGGCCGAGTGGGCCAGTGGTCGGGACCCCGCAACCTTGGCTGGGTCGGATCGACGCAGCCTCCCCCAGGGCACACGAAGCCGGAGGGACCCAGGGCCCGTAGCCCCGTGATAGGGCACGCAGGCCCGGAGGCAGGTACCTCCCCGGGGACGGCAGTCAGAAAGGGCCCGTTGCCCTTGTGAGGGACTGTGGCTGTGCTGTAGCGTTGCTATATTGTAATCAGGTGTCGCCTTCCCAAGATCAGCCTCCGCCTTCCATAAAACCCGCCACCACACACATGCTGGTGCCATAGAGGGAGCGCCACACACACACACACGAGTAACGCTCATCGCCCGGTACTGTCGCTACACGTGTGCGCACACACACACACACACGCACGCACATCTACACCTATACTTCCACAAAGGCAGGGAACCCCACCGTGTAGCGTGAACAGACTGTTGCGGGCAAGTGCTGCTAGCGAGTAAGCAGCGGCGCTTGTGAAGGCCGGCGCTGTGGCACACGAGGGGGTGGGTGGCCGGCCTTTGCCTCTCCCCCCCGGTGGCGACGTTTTTTGTTTTTTTTAACAACAGTGCACCAGGCACTCACTTGAGGCCGTGCCGACCTTCGATGAATTGCCACTGGTGTCGGATGGCCACGGGCGGGGATGGAACCCCCCGGGGCTCGTCGCGTTTGAAAGCCGACCGCTAACATCGCCGCTTGGTCAGGGACGAGAGAGAGAGAGAGAGGTGAAGACGCAAAGACGAGGGACTGCAACGCATTCACTGCCCTCTCTTTCCGCAGGGAGAGCTCGGGTGGAGATGCTACGCGGAGGTCTTGCACCTGGGACCGCGCCCGCGTGTGTGTGTGCACGTGTGTGCGTGCGTGTGTGTGCGTGTGTGTGTGCGTGTGTACGTGTGCGTGTGTGTACGTGTGTGCGTGTGTGTGTGCGCGTGTGTGTGCACATGTGTGCGTGTGTGCGTGTGTGCGTGTGTGTGTGTACGTGTGCGTGTGTGCACGTGTGTGCGTGTGTGCGTGTGTGTGCACGTGTGTGTGTGTGCGTGTGTGTGTGCGTGTGTGTGTACGTGTGTGTGTGCGTGTGTGCACGTGTGTGCACGTGTGTGCGCGTGTGTGTGTGCGTGTGTGTGTGTGCGTGTGTGTGCGCGCGTGTATGGTGCGAATCGTAACAAGTGGGGATCTGCGGATCCAGAATTGGACTCCCCGCAGCCACCTCGAGAGCCACGGCTGGAACCCTGACGGACGTCGTCAGCCCCTCGAGCCCCGGGGGCTGACGACAATGACTCTTCACTCCAAAGTCCAAATTCCTCCGGGTTTATTCAAGTGATTCCGATGGCAAAGGGTGACGGATGTGATTGGTGGTGGTGTGTGATGTGTGGTGATGGTTGTGTGCAGTGATGATGTGTGTGGTGATAGTGTCGTCGTCATCATCATCATCATCAGCCCATCAAGTAGCCACTGTGGAAACAAGATTAACAGACAACATCAGCACCATCATCATCAGCACCATCATCACCACCATCACGATCGACACCATCAGCATCACCATCAACACCATCACCAATTTAACCGCGTGTGACCTGGCCACGGTGAAGCCAGTAGTGGTTTTAGTTGTGGTAGTGGTGGTGGTATTGTTGGTGTTGGTAATAGTAGTGTTGGTGGTAGTGGTGTTGGTGGTAGTGTTGGTGGTGGTAGTGGTGTTGGTGCTAGTAGTGGTATTGGTGGTAGTGGTGTTGGTAGTGTTGGTGGTGTTGGTGGTGGTAGTGTTGGTGATGGGAGTGGTAGTGTTGGTGGTAGTGGTAGTGTTGGTGGTAGTGGTAGTGTTGGTGGTAGTGGTAGTGTTGGTGGTAGTGGTGGTGGTGTTGGTGATAGTGGTGCTGGTGATAGTGGTGTTGGTGATAGTGGTGTTGGTGATAGTGGTGTTGGTGGTAGTGGTGTTGGTGGTAGTGGTGTTGGTGGTAATGTTGGTGGTAGTGGTAGTGTTGGTGGTAGTGGTAGTGTTGGTGGTAGTGGTGGTGGTGTTGGTGGTGGTGTTGGTGGTGTTGGTGATAGTGGTGATAGTGATGTTAGTGTTGGTGGTAGTGGTGTTGGTGATAGTGGTGTTGGTGATAGTGGTGTTGGTGATAGTGGTGTTGGTGGTATTGGTGGTATTGCGGTTTCAGGAAAGGGTGGTCCTGCACAGATGCCATATTTTCTGTCCGTCTGCTACAGCAGAGGTGTAGGGAATTCCAACAAGACCTACATCTCTGCTTTATTGACCTGGTCAAGGCCTATGATACCATCAGTAGGCCTGGGCTCTGGGTCGTTCTTCGTGCTTTTGGAGTACCTGACCCTCTGCTTACAATCATTAAGGACCTTCATAATGGTGAGCGGGCCCGGGTAAAACTACGTGGCCGGGAGTCAGAGCCATTCCCTGTACACCTTGGGGTGCGACAGGGATATCCTCTGGCTCCCACATTATTTAACATCTATTTTGACCACGTAGTTCGTGAAGCCTTCAATAGCTGTACCGGGGGAATCTCCACATGGTACAGATATAATGGGAGGCTGATCGATGCCCGGGTGCGGTCAAGGGATGGCTCCCTATTGCTCAACCACGTTATGTATGCTGATGATTTGGTAATAGCTGCTCAGTCAGAGGAGGAGTTGGAGATGCTGCTGCTGAGACTGGAGCGTGCCACTAAGAGGTGGGGCCTTACCATCAGCCCCACCAAAACTAAGCACCTGCCTGGGTATTTTGTACCATCGGACACTCCACCCCCACAACTCCCAATCGGTGATGGGGCAGTTTGTGGAGAGAGTGGAGAGTTTCCCATACCTGGGCAGTGTGCTTATGACTGGCTCCAGTTTAACAGCAGAGGTCTCACTCCGAATCAGTCGAGCGGCAATATCTTTTCATCGGTAGCGTAACGCTGTGTGGAAGCTACCTGGTCTGTCGCTCCGCACTAAGCTTCAGGTCTTCTCGGCCACGGTCATTCCCTCCCTTCTCTACGCTTGCGAAACGTGGACCCCCTTAATGGAACATCTTCGCCGGTTAGAAACATTTAGGCTGGCCTGCCTACGATCCATCCTGGGTTTAACCAGACTGGCTTGTGTGAGGAGCTCACAAATCCTTGAAAGATCTGGGGAAGGTCCCATCGGTGAGCTCCTCCGGCAGGCAAGGCTGCGATGGCTGGGTCATGTAGCCCGCATGCCCAGCCAACGCATGCCGAAACAACTTTTGTTCAGCCGGATTGAGGGGGCTAAGCGGGCGCGGCACGGACTAGAGAAGAGATGGAGTGATGTGGTACAGGAGGACGTGGAGCTGAGTGGACTTGCCGATGACTGGTACCAGCGGTGTCAAGTAGTGGTGTTGGTGGTGTTGGTGGTGGTAGTGTTGGTGATGGTAGTGGTAGTGTTGGTGGTAGTGGTGTTGGTGGTAGTGGTAGTGTTGGTGGTAGTGGTAGTGGTGGTGGTGTTGGTGGTGGTGTTGGTGGTGGTATTGGTGTTGTTGGTGTTGGTGATAGTGGTGATAGTGATGTTGGTGTTGGTGGTAGTGGTGTTGGTGATAGTGTTGGTGGTAATAGTGGTGTTGGCAGTGGTGTTGTTGGTGATGATGGAGGAGGAGTTGTTGTTGTTGTTGATGACGACGGAGGAGGAGGAGGAGGAGGCGCCCGTGAACGTACGGCAGTTTGATGCGCATGAAGACGCGGGTCATGAACAAGCTGAGCAGCACCAGCAGAGAGCCCATGAAGAGCAGCAGGCAGCGGTTGGTGGTAGTGGTGTTGGTGGTAGTGGTGGTGATAGTGGTGGTGATAGTGGTGTTGGTGGTAGTGGTGTTAGTGGTGTTAGTGGTGTTGGTGATAGTGGTGTTGGTGGTAGTGGTGTTGGTGGTGGTGTTGGTGATAGTGGTGTTGGTGATAGTGGTGTTGGTGATAGTGGTGTTGGTGGTAGTGGTGATAGTAGTAGTGGTGATAGTGATGTTGGTGTTAGTGGTGTTGGTGATAGTGGTGTTGGTGTTGGTGGTGTTGGTGATAGTGGTGTTGGTGGTGGTGTTGGTGGTAGTGGTGTTGGTGATAGTGGTGTTGGTGGTGTTGGTGATAGTGGTGTTGGTTATAGTGGTGGTGTTGGTGATAGTGGTGTTGGTGGTGTTGGTGATAGTGGTGGTGGTGGTGGTGATAGTCGTGTTGGTGTTGGTGATAGTGGTGTTGGTGATAGTGGTGTTGGTGGTAGTGGTGGCAGTGTTGGTGTTGGTGATAGTCGTGGTGGTGTTGGTGATAGTGGTGTTGGTGTTAGTGGTGTTGGTGGTGGTGATAGTGGTGTTGGTGGTGGCAGTGTTGGTGACAGTCGTGTTGATGAAGGAGGAGGTGAACGTACGGCAGTTTGATGCGCATGAAGACGCGTGCCATGAAGAATCCGAGCAGCACCAGCAGAGTGCCCATGAAGAGCAGCAGGCAGCGGTTGAGGCGAGGGAGCGCTGGGCCATTTGAGTGCTCCAGCAGCACGAAGCCCAATCCTCCCATGCTGAAGAGGAAGCTGGAAGCCAGACCCTCCATGATGTACTGTCCATTCACTCTGGGAGGGGGTGCGGTGGCGGGGGCGGGTGGTGGTGGGGGGGGGGGGGGGAGAGGGTTGGTGGGGGGGAGAGTTAGTGGGGAGAGTGGGGGGAGAGTTGGGGGAGTGGGGAGAGAGTGGGGACAGAGAGGGGAGAGTGAGGGGAAAGTGGGGGGAGAGTGGGGGGAAAGTGTGGGGAGTGGGGAGTGAGAGGCACGGGGAGAGAGGAGAGTGGGGGGAGAGAGATGGAGTGTGTGGGGGCAGTGGGGGGAGAGTGGGAGGAGAGTGGGGGGAGAGTGGGGGGAGAGTGGGGGGAGAGTGGGGGGAGAGTGGGGAGAGTGAGGGGAGAGTGGGGGGAGAGTGGGGGGAGAGTGGGGGGAGAGTGGGGAGAGTGAGGGGAGAGTGGGGGGAGAGTTAGTGGGGAGAGAGAGGGGAGAAAGAGTGGGGGGAGAGTGGGGGGAGTGGGGGGAGATAGTGGGGGGAGAGTGGGGGGAGAGTGGGGGGAGTGATCCAGTAACAGGAGGCCTAGGCCTCCCATGATGAAGCCCCACCTTGATATGTCGCCAATTCACCTTCAGTGCGTGAGAGAGTGGGGAGAGGTGGACTATGAGTAGTGGTGGTGGACTATGTGTAGTGGTGGACTATGTGTAGTGGTGGACTATGAGTAGTGGTGAACTACTACCACTAGTGGTGGACTACCACTAGTGGACTATGAGTAGTGGTGAACTACTACTAGTGGTGGACTTTGTGTAGTAGTGGTGGACTATGTGTAGTAGTGGTGGACTATGTGTAGTGGTGAACTACTACCACTAGTGGTGGACTATGAGTAGTGGTGAACTACTACCACTAGTGGTGGACTGAGTAGTGGTGAACTACTACTAGTGGTGGACTATGAGTAGTGGTGAACTACTACTAGTGGTGGACTATGAGTAGTGGTGAACTACTACCACTAGTGGTGGACTATGAGTAGTGGTGTACTACTACTAGTGGTGGACTATGTGTAGTGGTGAACTACTACTACTAGTGGTGAACTACTACTAGTGGTGGACTATGTGTAGTAGTGGTGGACTACTACTAGTGGTGGACTATGTGTAGTAGTGGTGGGCTGGGGGACTATGAGTAGTAGTGTAGCAGTGGTGGACTACTACTATTGGTGGACTATGTGTAGTAGTGGTGGACTATGTGTAGTAGTGTAGTAGTGGTGGACTACTACTATTGGTGGACTATGTGTAGTAGTGTAGTAGTGGTGGACTATGTGTATTAGTGTAGTAGTGGTGGACTACTACTATTGGTGGACTATGTGTAGCAGTGGTGGACTACCACTAGTGGTGAACTACTACTACTAGTGGTGGATTATGTGTAGTAGTGGTAGATTACTACTACTAGTGGTGGACTATGTGTAGTAGTGTAGTAGTGGTGGACTACTACTAGTGGTGGATTATGTGTAGTAGTGGTGGACTATGTGTAGTAGTGTAGTAGTGGTGGGCTACTACTATTGGTGGACTATGTGTAGTAGTGGTAGATTACTACTACTAGTGGTGGACTATGTGTAGTAGTGTAGTAGTGGTGGACTACTACTAGTGGTGGATTATGTGTAGTAGTGGTGGACTATGTGTAGTAGTGTAGTAGTGGTGGGCTACTACTATTGGTGGACTATGTGTAGTAGTGATGAACTACTACTACTAGTGGTGGACTGTGTAGTAGTGGTGGACTATGTGTAGTAGTGGTGGAGCCTGAGTAGTCAGGGTGGTGCACCACCTGTAAGCGAGGAATGCGACGGGCCGCTGGTGTCCCTGCTCGTCAGTGGTGGACTACTACTAGTGGTGGACTATGTGTAGTAGTGTAGTAGTGGTAGATTACTACTACTAGTGGTGGACTATGTGTAGTAGTGTAGTAGTGGTAGATTACTACTACTAGTGGTGGACTATGTGTAGTAGTGGTGGACTACTAGTAGTGGTGGACTACTACTAGTGGTGGACTATGTGTAGTAGTGTAGTAGTGGTAGATCACTACTACTAGTGGTGGACTATGTGTAGTAGTGGTGGACTACTAGTAGTGGTGGACTACTACTATTGGTGGACTATGTGTAGTAGTGTAGTAGTGGTAGATTACTACTACTATTGGTGGACTATGTGTAGTAGTGGTGGACTACTACTACTATTGGTGGACTATGTGTAGTAGTGTAGTAGTGGTAGATTACTACTACTATTGGTGGACTATGTGTAGCAGTGGTGGACTACTACTACTATTGGTGGACTATGTGTAGTAGTGTAGTAGTGGTAGATTACTACTACTATTGGTGGACTATGTGTAGTAGTGGTGGACTACTACTACTATTGGTGGACTATGTGTAGTAGTGTAGTAGTGGTAGATTACTACTACTATTGGTGGACTATGTGTAGTAGTGGTGGACTACTACTACTATTGGTGGACTATGTGTAGTAGTGTAGTAGTGGTAGATTACTACTACTATTGGTGGACTATGTGTAGCAGTGGTGGACTACTACTACTATTGGTGGACTATGTGCACCACCTGTAAGCGAGGAATGCGACGGGCCGCTGGTGTCCCTGCTCGTCAGTGGTGGAGCCAACACTGGGTGGCTCGACAATCACGTCGTAGATGATGCCTACACCACCATCCACATCGCCATCACCACCACCATCCACATCGCCATCGTCAACATCGCCATCACCATCAACATCGCCATCCACATCGTCATCACCACCATCATCACCACCACTACCACCACCACTATCACCACCGTCAACATCATCATCACCACCACTATCACCACCACCATCATCATCACCACCGTCATCACCACCATCATCACCACCACTATCACCACCATCATCACCACCGTCAACATCGTCATCACCACCATCATCACCACCACTACCACCACCACTATCACCACCGTCATCATCACCACCGTCATCACCACCATCATCACCACCACTATCACCACCATCATCACCACCGTCAACATCGTCATCACCACCACTACCACCACCACTATCACCACCATCATCACCACTATCACCACCACTATCACCACCGTCATCACCACTACCACCACCACTATCACCACCGTCAACATCATCATCACCACCATCATCACCACCACTACCACCACCACTATCACCACCGTCATCACCACCACTATCACCGTCAACATCGTCACCACCATCCACATCGCCATCACCACCATCATCATCACGACCACCACTATCACTGTCATCACCACCACTATCACCACCATCATCACCACCACTATCACCACCACTATCACCACCACTATCACCACCACTATCAACATCGTCACCACCGTCAACATCGTCATCACCACCATCATCACCACCACTACCACCACCACTATCACCACCGTCAACATCATCATCACCACCACTATCACCACCACCATCATCATCACCACCGTCATCACCACCATCATCACCACCACTATCACCACCATCATCACCACCGTCAACATCGTCATCACCACCATCATCACCACCACTACCACCACCACTATCACCACCGTCATCACCACCATCATCATCACCACCGTCATCACCACCATCATCACCACCACTATCACCACCATCATCACCACCGTCAACATCGTCATCACCACCACTACCACCACCACTATCACCACCATCATCACCACTATCACCACCACTATCACCACCGTCATCACCACTACCACCACCACTATCACCACCGTCAACATCATCATCACCACCATCATCACCACCACTACCACCACCACTATCACCACCGTCATCACCACCACTATCACCGTCAACATCGTCACCACCATCGACATCACCGTCAACATCGTCACCACCATCAACATCGTCATCACCACCACTATCAACATTGTCAACATCGTCACCACCGTCACCGTCACCACCATCGACATCGCCATCACCACCATCAACATCGCCATCACCACCGTCATCATCACCATCATCACCACCACTATCAACATCGTCACCACCATCGTCACCACCACCGTCACCACCACCGTCACCACCATCGTCACCACCACCGTCACCACCACCACCGTCACCACCACCGTCACCACCACCGTCACCACCATCGTCACCACCACCGTCACCACCATCGTCACAACAACCGCCATTCTCCACCAAGCGCCAGTAACCACACCACGGTGCTTGTGCCGGACTCTTTGGTTCTGTTCGGTAAAGTCACCAACGCAGTAGGTAACAAAAAATTAAAAACGACAAAAAATCACGACGTTTCGGCCAACAACACAAGTGGCCCTCATCAGGTCGAAGGGACCTTGCTGTCCAGAGGACAGCGCTTCACACCCGAGCACATTCCCTTCCCAAACTTTCTATCAAACCCCTTTTTAACATGCTCTCCCCTCACGGCACATTCTTGCCGATCTTGAATTCTTTTCCCCGTTTCCATCGCGCACATCCTACACAAAAAACATGCTCGCCTCCCAGCCGATGATTTTCGGACTGCAACGACCCGCTGCTTCGACGCTTTTGACGCAAGCCATTTCTCACGCGCAGACTCCTATCTGTCCAAGGGCTCCCCTGCTCCTCCCACCAGAGCTTAAAAAGACGATGCGAATCTTAGCAGCGGTCGCCGAAGCGCTGTCGTCCCGACAGTTTCTGTCGTGATTTTTTTTGCCGTTTCATTTTTTTCACCCACTACTACTGCTACTGCTACTACTACTACTACTACGTGACTTTACCGAATAGAACCAACGAGTGTGGACCCTCGCAGTCACGAAAGCTTCACATCAGGAATTGTGCCGGACTGTGCGCGCACGTCAAGGCCACGTCAGGTGTCCAAGGCCAGCCGGCAGGTCACGGGACAGACCCAGCGGGTGCCATGGGTTGACTGAGATGACCGGTAGATGCACCACCGGCTGTTACCCCCCCCTACTGTGCCATCTCGCTGTGTTTTAGCCGCCCAGCGCTCCGCTCGTTGTTGTGAGCGTCGCTCCTCCGCCCTCCGTTGTTGTTGGAGGGCGACTGCCTCCAATTGCCCAGTAGCATCCTTCACGAGCCTCCTCCACAGAGGCCGATCTTGACACCGCTGGTACCGGTCATCGGCAAGTGCACTCAGCTACACGTCCTCCTGTACCACATCACTCCATCTCTTCTCTAGCCCCGTGCCTCCTGTACCACATCACTCCATCTCTTCTCTAGCCCGTGCCGCGCCTGTTTAGCCCCCTCAATCCGGCCGAACAAAAGCTGCTTGGGCAATGCGGTGGCTGGGCATGCGGGCTACATCACCCAGCCATCGCAGCCTTGCCCGCCGGAGCAGCTCACCGATGGGACCTTGCCCAGATCTTTCAAGGATTTGTGAGCTCCTCACACAATCCAGTCTGGTTAAACCCAGGATGGATCGCAGGCAGGCCGGCCTGAATATTTCCAACCGGCAAAGATGTTCCATTATTGCGTGGATGCGCCAATGCCGGAACAGCATGGTTGGTAATTACAAGCCCCATTGTGCTGCACAGAAGTCTAGCAGCCTCCTACCGTTGTTATTGAGCTGATCTGGCCCATGGCCTTCAAATCACTCCAGACCAGGTGCCAGCATCATGACCCACTCAGGCATTAAAGTCACCCAACAGCAGGAATCTATCCCGAGGGGCGACTTTAGTTTGCACTTGTGACAGGAGGTCACAGAAGGCATCGGACTCATCGGCCTTGCCTGCATCCCTCCACTGATGTTCATCTTCGGTGGGGGCAGAAGTAACCACGACCACCACTCCTTGCTTCCGGTTTATGGGAAGGAGAACCTGGGGATTACAGCTTCCCACACCTCACCGCCACGCTCCCACGCCCCCTTCACTCCTTTGTTCAGAAGAAGAGCCGCTCCCCTGTTGTTTGGCAGTCTCCTGCCCCGAGTAGAGGACTGTCCACCCCTCACGGTGGCTGGCTGGAGCCAGAGCCGGTCCCACCGGACCCTCTTTAATTCCCCGGAGATCCAAGCGGTATCCGGTCCAGCTCCCGACAAGAGGAGCGGGCAGCCTCTCCTCCAGCAGTGAGCGTTCGAACATTCCACGTGGCCACCCGCAGTGGCTTTTTGTTGATTCTGGAGGAGCCCCGAGGGTAGAGATTCAGTCTCCTGGCTCCGCCAAGTGGAGCTAGGCCAGGAGACGTCATGGACGCCTCTCCCCGCGGGGGGCCTCCGGCACAAGCTCGATTTTTATATCGGTGCCTACGAGCACCATGAGGGGATCAACCAGTCGAGAATCAGCCTTCCACTAAACGGCATCGCTCACAGCCAGCACAGCGTTACCGTCTGGCACCACAGAGGAGGTAGGGGGTTGTTTTTTAAAAACACCATCATCACCGTCATCACCGTCATCACCGTCAGCATCACCAACACCAGTACTGTCGGTACCACCATCATCATCATCATCGTCATCAACGCCACACATCGTCATCGGCACCACCATCGTAACAATGACGCGCACAATCAGAACCGTCATCTTCGTCATCAGCGTGAGAGCTGAGGGACTCCCCTCTAGAGGAGAGCCCCGCCAAGAGGCCACACAGAGTGAGTGGAGAGTGCGGGGTCCCACCGCCTGTGATGAGGAAGTAGGAGACCACCACGCAGGCATAGACGGCCATGGCCGAGGGCATGCGGCACCAGGAGGGGCGCTTCACCCGCAGGTTCGGAGCCACAAGGACGCGGAACGGTGCGGAGAGAACGCACTCCATGTCTGTCTCTGTCTGTCTCTGTCTGTCTCTGTCTGACGGGCACGGGGAGACAGAGACACACGGGGAGAGACACACGGTGAGAGAGAGACACACGGGGAGAGAACGCACTCCATGTCTGTCTCTGTCTGTCTCTGTCTGTCTCTGTCTGACGGGCACGGGGAGACAGAGACACACGGGGAGAGACACACGGTGAGAGAGAGACACACGGGGAGAGAGAGAACGCACTCCATGTCTGTCTCTGTCTGTCTCTGTCTGTCTCTGTCTGTCTCTGTCTGACGGGCACGGGGAGACAGAGACACACGGGGAGAGACACACGGTGAGAGAGAGAACGCACTCCATGTCTGTCTCTGTCTGTCTCTGTCTGACGGACACGGGGAGACAGAGACACACGGTGAGAGAGAGACACACGGTGAGAGAGAGACACACGGTGAGAGAGAGAACGCACTCCATGTCTGTCTCTGTCTCTGTCTGACGGACACGGGGAGACAGAGACACACGGGGAGAGACACACGGTGAGAGAGAGACACACGGTGAGAGAGAGACACACGGTGAGAGAGAGAACGCACTCCATGTCTGTCTCTGTCTGTCTCTGTCTGTCTCTGTCTGACGGACACGGGGAGACAGAGACACACGGTGAGAGAGAGAACGCACTCCATGTCTGTCTCTGTCTGTCTCTGTCTGTCTCTGTCTGTCTCTGTCTGACGGACACGGGGAGACAGAGACACACGGGGAGAGACACACGGTGAGAGAGAGAACGCACTCCATGTCTGTCTCTGTCTGTCTCTGTCTGTCTCTGTCTGTCTCTGTCTGACGGACACGGGGAGAGAGAGACACACGGTGAGAGACACACGGGGAGAGAGATACACGGTGAGAGAGAGACACGGTGAGAGAGAAAACGCACTCCATGTCTGTCTCTGTCTGTCTCTGTCTGTCTCTGTCTGACGGGCACGGGGAGACAGAGACACACGGGGAGAGACACACGGTGAGAGAGAGAGACACGGGGAGAGAGAGAACGCACTCCATCTCTGTCTCTGTCTGACGGACACAGGGAGAGAGAGACACACGGTGCAAGAGAGAGAGACACGGGGAGAGAGAGACACACGGTGAGAGAGACACACGGGGAGAGAGACACACGGTGAGAGAGAGAACGCACTCCATGTCTGTCTCTGTCTGTCTCTGTCTGTCTCTGTCTGTCTCTGTCTGACGGACACGGGGAGAGAGAGAGACACACGGGGAGAGAGAGACACGGGGAGAGAGAGACACGGGGAGAGAGAGACACGGGGAGAGAGAGACACGGTGAGAGAGAGAACGCACTCTATGTCTGTCTCTGTCTGTCTCTGTCTGACGGGCACGGGGAGACAGAGACACACGGGGAGAGACACACGGTGAGAGAGAGACACACGCTGAGAGAGAGAACGCACTCCATGTCTGTCTCTGTCTGTCTCTGTCTGACTGACACGGGGAGAGAGAGACACACGGGGAGAGACACACGGTGAGAGAGAGACACACGGGGAGAGAGACACACGGTGAGAGAGAGACACGGGGAGAGAGAGAACGCACTCCATGTCTGTCTCTGTCTGTCTCTGTCTGTCTCTGTCTGACGGACACGGGGAGAGAGAGACACACAGTGAGAGACACACGGTGAGAGAGAGACACACGGTGAGAGAGAGACACACGGTGAGAGAGAGACACACGGTGAGAGAGAGAACGCACTCCATGTCTGTCTCTGTCTGTCTCTGTCTGACGGACACGGGGAGAGAGATACACGGGGAGAGACACACGGTGAGAGAGAGAGACACGGGGAGAGAGAGAACGCACTCCATGTCTGTCTCTGTCTGACGGACACAGGGAGAGACACACGGTGCAAGAGAGAGAGACACGGGGAGAGAGAGACGCACGGTGAGAGACACGCGGTGAGAGAAACACACGGGGAGAGAGACACGGTGCGGAGAGAACGCACTCCATGTCTGTCTCTGTCTGTCTCTGTCTGTCTCTGTCTGACGGACACGGGGAGACAGAGACACACGGGGAGAGACACACGGTGAGAGAGAGACACACGGTGAGAGAGAGACACACGGTGAGAGAGAGACACACGGGGAGAGAGAGACATGGGGAGAGAGAGACACGGTGAGAGAGAGAACGCACTCCATGTCTGTCTCTGTCTGTCTCTGTCTGTCTCTGTCTGACGGACACGGGGAGACAAAGACACACGGTGAGAGAGAGACACACGGTGAGAGAGAGACACACGGTGAGAGAGAGACATGGGGAGAGAGAGACACGGTGAGAGAGAGAACGCACTCCATGTCTGTCTCTGTCTGTCTCTGTCTGACGGACACGGGGAGACAAAGACACACGGTGAGAGAGAGACACACGGTGAGAGAGAGAACGCACTCCATGTCTGTCTCTGTCTGTCTCTGTCTGACTGACACGGGGAGAGAGAGACACACGGGGAGAGACACACGGTGAGAGAGAGAGACACGGGGAGAGAGAGAACGCACTCCATGTCTGTCTCTAGTCTGTCTCTGTCTGACTAACACGGGGAGACAGAGACACACAGGGAGAGAGACACACGGTGAGAGAGAGACACACGGTGAGAGAGAGACACACGGTGCGGAGAGAACGCACTCCATGTCTGTCTGTCTCTGTCTGACGGACACGGGAAGAGAGAGACACACGGTGAGAGAGACACACGGGGAGAGAGAGACACGGTGAGAGAGAGACACGGTGAGAGAGATAACGCACTCCATGTCTGTCTCTGTCTGTCTCTGTCTGTCTCTGTCTGATGGACACGGGGAGAGACACACGGGGAGAGAGAGACACACGGTGAGAGAGAGAGACACGGGGAGAGAGAGACACACAGTGAGAGAGAGAGACACGGGGAGAGAGAGAACGCACTCCATGTCTGTCTCTATCTGTCTCTGTCTGTCGGACTCGGGGAGAGAGAGACACACGGTGAGAGAGAGACACACGGTGAGAGAGAGACACACGGGGAGAGAGAGACATGGGGAGAGAGAGACACGGGGAGAGAGAGAACGCACTCCATGTCTGTCTCTGTCTGTCTCTGTCTGACGGACACGGGGAGAGAGAGACACACGGGGAGAGACACACGGTGAGAGAGACACACGGGGAGAGAGAGACACGGTGAGAGAGAGACACACAGTGAGAGAACGCACTCCATGTCTGTCTCTGTCTGTCTCTGTCTGTCTCTGTCTGTCTCTGTCTGTCGGACACGGGGAGAGAGAGACACACGGGGAGAGAGAACACACTCCATGTCTGTCTCTGTCTATCGGACACGGGGAGAGAGAGACACACGGTGAGAGAGAGACGCACGGTGAGAGAGAACACACTCCATGTCTGTCTCTGTCTGTCTCTGTCTATCGGACACGGGGAGAGAGAGACACACGGTGAGAGAGAGACGCACGGTGAGAGAGAACACACTCCATGTCTGTCTCTGTCTGTCTCTGTCTGTCGGACACGGGGAGAGAGAGACACAAGGGGAGAGAGAGACACACGGGGAGAGAGAGAGACACACGGTGAGAGAGAGACACACAGTGAGAGAGAGACACACGGTGAGAGAGACACACGGTGAGAGAAAGAACACACTCCATGTCTGTCTCTGTCTGTCTCTGTCTGTCGGACACGGGGAGAGAGAGACACACGGGGAGAGAGAGAGACACAGTGAGAGAGAGACACACGGTGAGAGAGAGACACACGGTGAGAGAGAGAACACACTCCATGTCTGTCTCTGTCTGTCTCTGTCTGTCGGACACGGGGAGAGAGACACACGGTGAGAGAGAGACACGGGGAGAGAGAGAGACACACGGGGAGAGACACACGGTGAGAGAACGCACTCCATGTCTGTCTCTGTCTGTCTCTGTCTGTCTCTGTCTGTCGGACACGGGGAGAGAGACACACGGGGAGAGAGAGACACACGGGGAGAGAGAGACACACGGGGAGAGAGAGACACACGGTGAGAGAGAAAGACACGGGGAGAGAGAGAACGCACTCCATGTCTGTCTCTGTCTGTCTCTGTCTGTCGGACTCGGGGAGAGAGAGACACACGGTGAGAGAGAGACACACGGTGAGAGAGACACACACGGGGAGAGAGAGACATGGGGAGAGAGAGACACGGGGAGAGAGAGACACACAGTGAGAGAACGCACTCCATGTCTGTCTCTGTCTGTCTCTGTCTGTCTCTGTCTGTCGGACACGGGGAGAGAGAGACACACGGGGAGAGAGAACACACTCCATGTCTGTCTCTGTCTATCGGACACGGGGAGAGAGAGACACACGGTGAGAGAGAGACGCACGGTGAGAGAGAACACACTCCATGTCTGTCTCTGTCTGTCTCTGTCTATCGGACACGGGGAGAGAGAGACACACGGGGAGAGAGAGAGACACAGTGAGAGAGAGACACGGGGAGAGAGACACACGGTGAGAGAGAGACACGGGGAGAGAGAGAGACACACGGGGAGAGACACACGGTGAGAGAACGCACTCCATGTCTGTCTCTGTCTCTGTCTGTCGGACACACACACGGGGAGAGAGAGACACACGGGGAGAGAGAGACACACGGTGAGAGAGAAAGACACGGGGAGAGAGAGAACGCACTCCATGTCTGTCTCTGTCTGTCTCTGTCTGTCGGACTCGGGGAGAGAGAGACACACGGTGAGAGAGAGACACACGGTGAGAGAGACACACACGGGGAGAGAGAGACATGGGGAGAGAGAGACACGGGGAGAGAGAGAGACACGGGGAGAGAGAGACACACAGTGAGAGAACGCACTCCATGTCTGTCTCTGTCTGTCTCTGTCTGTCTCTGTCTGTCGGACACGGGGAGAGAGAGACACACGGGGAGAGAGAACACACTCTATGTCTGTCTCTGTCTATCGGACACGGGGAGAGAGAGACACACGGTGAGAGAGAGACGCACGGTGAGAGAGAACACACTCCATGTCTGTCTCTGTCTGTCTCTGTCTATCGGACACGGGGAGAGAGAGACACACGGTGAGAGAGAGACGCACGGTGAGAGAGAACACACTCCATGTCTGTCTCTGTCTGTCTCTGTCTATCGGACACGGGGAGAGAGAGACACACGGTGAGAGAGAGACGCACGGTGAGAGAGAACACACTCCATGTCTGTCTCTGTCTGTCGGACACGGGGAGAGAGAGACACAAGGGGAGACAGAGACACACGGGGAGAGAGAGACACACGGTGAGAGAGAGACACACGGTGCGGAGAGAACGCACTCCATGTCTGTCTCTGTCTCTGTCTGTCGGACACGGGGAGAGACACACGGGGAGAGACACACGGTGAGAGAACGCACTCCATGTCTGTCTCTGTCTGTCTCTGTCTGTCTCTGTCTGATGGACACGGGGAGAGAGAGACACACAGTGAGAGAGAGAACACACTCCATGTCTGTCTCTGTCTGTCTCTGTCTGTCGGACACGGGGAGAGAGAGACACACGGGGAGAGAGACACAGTGAGAGAGAGACACGGGGAGAGAGACACACGGTGAGAGAGAGACACGGGGAGAGAGAGAGAGACACACGGGGAGAGACACGGTGAGAGAACGCACTCCATGTCTGTCTCTGTCTGTCTCTGTCTGTCGGACACAGAGAGAGAGAGACACACGGGGAGAGAGAGACACACGGTGAGAGACACACGGTGAGAGAGAGACACACGGTGAGAGAGAGAACACACTCCATGTCTGTCTCTGTCTGTCTCTGTCTGTCGGACACGGGGAGAGAGAGACACACGGGGAGAGAGAGAGACACAGTGAGAGAGAGACACGGGGAGAGAGACACACGGTGAGAGAGAGACACGGGGAGAGAGAGAGACACACGGGGAGAGACACACGGTGAGAGAACGCACTCCATGTCTGTCTCTGTCTGTCTCTGTCTGTCGGACACGGAGAGAGAGAGACACACGGGGAGAGAGAGACACACGGGGAGAGAGACACAGTGAGAGAGAGACACGGGGAGAGAGACACACGGTGAGAGAGAGACACGGGGAGAGAGAGACACACACGGGGAGAGACACGGTGAGAGAACGCACTCCATGTCTGTCTCTGTCTGTCTCTGTCTGTCGGACACAGAGAGAGAGAGACACACGGGGAGAGAGAGACACACGGTGAGAGACACACGGTGAGAGAGAGACACACGGTGAGAGAGAGAACACACTCCATGTCTGTCTCTGTCTGTCTCTGTCTGTCGGACACGGGGAGAGAGAGACACACGGGGAGAGAGAGAGACACAGTGAGAGAGAGACACGGGGAGAGAGACACACGGTGAGAGAGAGACATGGGGAGAGAGAGAGACACACGGGGAGAGACACACGGTGAGAGAACGCACTCCATGTCTGTCTCTGTCTGTCTCTGTCTGTCGGACACGGAGAGAGAGAGACACACGGGGAGAGAGAGACACAAGGGGAGAGAGACACAGTGAGAGAGAGAGACACGGGGAGAGAGACACACGGTCAGAGAGAGACACGGGGAGAGAGAGACACACGGTGAGAGAGAGACACACGGGGAGAGAGAGACACACGGTGAGAGAGAGAACGCACTCCATGTCTGTCTCTGTCTGTCTCTGTCTGTCGGACACGGGGAGAGAGAGACACACAGGGAGAGAGAGACACACGGGGAGAGAGAGACACACGGTGAGAGAGAGAACGCACTCCATGTCTGTCTCTGTCTGTCTCTGTCTGTCTCTGTCTGTCGGACATGCGGAGACAGAGACACACGGGGAGAGAGAGACACACGGTGAGAGAGAGACACACGGGGAGAGAGAGACACGGGGAGAGAGAGACACGGGGAGAGAGAGAGACACACGGTGAGAGAGAGACACGGGGAGAGAGACACGGGGAGAGAACGCACTCCATGTCTGTCTCTGTCTGTCGGACACGGGGAGAGAGAGACACACGGGGAGAGACACACGGAGAGAGAGAGAACACACTCCATGTCTGTCTCTGTCTGTCTCTGTCTGTCGGACACGGGGAGAGAGAGACACACGGTGAGAGAGAGACGGGGAGAGAGAGACACAGGGAGAGAACGCACTCCATGTCTGTCTCTGTCTGTCTCTGTCTGTCTCTGTCTGTCGGACACGGGGAGAGAGAGACACACGGGGAGAGAGAGACACACGGGGAGAGAGAGACACACAGTGAGAGAGAGACACGGGGAGAGAGAGAGACACGGGGAGAGAGAGACACACGGGGAGAGAGAGACACACAGTGAGAGAGAGACACACGGGGAGAGAGAGACACACGGGGAGAGAGAGACACATGGGGAGAGAGAGACACACGGTGAGAGAGAGACACGGTGAGAGAGACACGGGGAGAGAACGCACTCCATGTCTGTCTCTGTCTGTCGGACACGGGGAGAGAGAGACACACGGTGAGAGACAGACACACGGTGAGAGAGAGACACGGGGAGAGAGAGACACGGGGAGAGAGAGACACACGGGGAGAGAGACACGGGGAGAGAGAGACACGGGGAGAGAGAGACACACAGTGAGAGAGAGAACGCACTCAATGTCTGTCTCTGTCTGTCTCTGTCTGACGGACACGGGGAGAGACACACGGGGAGAGACACACGGGGAGAGAGACACGGTGAGAGAGAGACACACGGTGAGAGAGAGACACACGGGGAGAGAGAGACACACGGGGAGAGAGAGACACACGGGGAGAGAGAGACACACGGTGAGAGAGAGAGACACACGATGAGAGAGAGAGACACACGGTGAGAGAGAGACACACGGTGAGAGAGAGACACACGGGGAGAGAGACACACGGGGAGAGAGACACACGGGGAGAGAGAGACACGGGGAGAGAGACACACGGTGAGAGAGAGAGACACGGGGAGAGAGACGCATGGGGAGAGAGAGACACACGGTGAGAGGACGCACTCCATGTCTGTCTCTGTCTGTCTCTGACTGTCGGACACGGGGAGACAGAGACACACGAGGAGAGAGAGACACACGGGGAGAGAGAGAACGCACTCCATGTCTGTCTCTGTCTGTCTGTCTCTGTCTGACGGACACGGGGAGAGAGAGACACACGGTGAGAGAAAGACACACGGGGAGAGAGAGACACGGGGAGAGAGAGACACGGGGAGAGAGAGACACACGGGGAGAGAGAGACACGGGGAGAGAGACACACGGGGAGAGAGAGACACGGGGAGAGAGAGACACACGGGGAGAGAGAGAACGCACTCCATGTCTGTCTGTCTCTGTCTGTCTCTGTCTGACGGACACGGGGAGAGACACACGGTGAGAGAGAGAGACACACGGGGAGAGAGAGACACGGGGAGAGAGAGACACACGGTGAGAGAGAGACACACGGTGAGAGGGAGACACACGGTTAGAGAGAGAACGCACTCCATGTCTGTCTCTGTCTGTCTCTGTCTGTCGGACACGGGGAGACAGAGACACACGGGGAGAGAGAGACACACGGTGAGAGAGAGAACGCACTCCATGTCTGTCTCTGTCTGTCTCTGTCTGACGGACACGGGGAGAGAGACACACACGGGGAGAGAGAGACACACGGGGAGAGAGAGAGACACGGGGAGAGACACACGGGGAGTGAGAGACACGGGGAGAGAGAGACACGGGGAGAGAGACACACGGGGAGTGAGAGACACGGGGAGAGAGACACACGGGGAGAGAACGCACCCCATGTCTGCCTCTGTCTGTCTCTGTCTGACGGACACGGCGAGAGAGATACACGGGGAGAGAGACCCACAGGGAGACACACAGGGAGAGAGACACAGGGAGAGAGACACGGGGAGATAGAGACACGGGGAGAGACATATGGGGAGAGAGACACACGGGGAGAGAGAGACACACGGGGAGATAGACATGGGGGGAGAGACACGGGGGCATGGGGAGAGAGACACGGGGGGATGGGGAGAGAGACATGGAGTGAGAGAGACAGGGGGAGACATGGTGAGAGAGAGACACAGGGAGAGAGAGCACGTTACAATGAAAATAACGATGTAGGTGATGGTGGTTGTGATGTTGGTGATGTTGGTGATGATGGTAGTGATGATGGTGTTGATGGTGGCGTTAGAGAGACACGGGGAGAGAGACGCGGGGGGAGAGAGACACAGGGAGACACGGGGAGAGAGACACGGGGATGATGTATAGTAATGTAGTGATGGTAGTAGTGATGCAGTAGTGATGTATGGTGGTGATGATTTAATAGTGGTGTAGTAGTGTATATAAGTGGTGGTGTTGGTGGTGTTTGTAATGAACTAGTAGTATCGTAGTGCATAGTAGTGTAGTATAGTAGTAATGTGCTGATAGTAATGTGCTGATAGTAATGTGCTGATAGTGATGTAGTAATGTAGTAGTGTGATGTATATATTAGTAGTAGTAATAGTGTTATTATATTAGTGATGTAGTAGTGTGGAGTTGGTGGTGTAGTAGTATAGTAGTGGTGTTTGTGATGTAGTGCAGAAGTATAGTAGTGTGTAGCAGTAGTGATGTAGCAGTAGTGTATAGTAGTAGTGTAGTAGGGTTGGTGGTGTTTGCGATGTAGTGATGTAGTAGTATAGTAGTGTATAATAGTAGTGTAGTAGTAATGTTATGTTAGTAATGTAGTATAATAGTGTAGTTAGTGTAATGTTTGTGATGTTAGTAAAGTAGTATAATAGTGTAGTTAGTGTAATGTTTGTGATGTTAGTAATGTAGTATAATAGTGTAGTTAGTGTAATGTTTGTGATATTAGTAATGTAGTATAATAGTGTAGTTAGTGTAATGTTTGTGATGTTAGTAATGTAGTATAATAGTGTAGTTAGTGTAATGTTTGTGATATTAGTAATGTAGTATAATAGTGTAGTTAGTGTAATGTTTGTGATGTTAGTAATGTAGTATAATAGTGTAGTTAGTGTAATAGTGTAGTTAGTGTAATGTTTGTGATGTTAGTAACGTAGTATAATAGTATAGTAGTTAGTGTAATGTTTGTGATGTTAGTAATGTAGTATAATAGTATAGTAGTATAATAGTGTAATGTGTGTGATGATGTAGTAGTATAGTAGTGTAGTTAGTGTAATGTTTGTGATGATGTAGTAGTAGCATAATAGTGTAGTTAGTGTAATGTTTGTGATGTTAGTAATGTAGTATAATAGTGTAGTTAGTGTAATATTTGTGATGATGTAGTATAGTAGTGTAGTTAGTGTGATGTTTGTGATGATGTAGTAGTAGTAAAATATAATAGTATAATAGTGTAATGTTTGTAATGTTAGTAATGTAGTATAATAGTACAATAGTGTAGTAGTATAATAGTTAGTGTAATGTTTGTGATGTTAGTAATGTAGTATAATAGTGTAGTTAGTGTACTAGTATAATAGTTAGTGTGATGTTTGTGATGTTAGTAATGTAGTATAATAGTGTAGTTAGTGTAATGTTTGTGTAATGTGTGTGATGTTAGTAATGTAGTATAATAGTATAATAGTGTAGTATAATAGTGTAGTTAGTGTAATGTTTGTGATGTTAGTAATGTAGTATAATAGTATAATAGTGTAGTATAGTAGTTTGCAATGTTTGTGATGTTAGTAATGTAGTAATGTAGTATAATAGTATAGATGTATAATAGTTAGTGTAATGTTTGTGATGTTAGTAATGTAGTATAATAGTGTAGTAGTATAGTAGTTTGTAATGTTTGTGATGTTAGTAATGTAGTATAATAGTGTAGTAGTATAATATTGTAATGTTTGTGATGTTAGTAATGTAGTATAACAATATAGTAGTATAATAGTGTAGTAGTATAATAGTGCAATGTTTGTGATGTTAGTAATGTAGTATAATAGTATAATAGTGTAGTAGTATAATAGTTAGTGTAATGTAGTAATGTAGTATAATAGTGTAGTAGTATAGTAGTTAGTGTAATGTTTGTGATGTTAGTAATGTAGTATAATAGTATAATATAATAGTATAATAGTTTGTAATGTTTGTGATGTTAGTAATGTAGTATACTAGTATAATAATATAATAGTATAATAGTTAGTGTGATGTTTGTGATGTTAGTAATGTAGTATAATAATATAATAGTATAATAGTTTGTGTAATGTTTGTGATGTTAGTAATGTAATATCCTAGTATAATAATATAATAGTACAATAGTTAGTATAATAGTGTGATGTTAGTGATGTTAGTAATGTAGTATAATAGTATAATAATATAATAGTATAATAGTTAGTGTAATGTTTGTGATGTTAGTAATGTAGTATAATAGTATAATATAATAGTATAATAGTTAGTATAATAGTTAGTGTAATGTTTGTGATGTTAGTAATGTCGTATAATAGTATAATAATATAATAGTATAATAGTTAGTGTAATGTTTGTGATGTTAGTAATGTAGTATAATAATATAATCGTATAATAGTTAGTATAATATAATAGTATAATAGTTAGTGTAATGTTTGTGTAATGTTTGTGATGTTAGTAATGTAGTATACTAGTAAAATAATATAATAGTTAGTATAATAGGTAGTATAATAGTTTGTGTAATGTTTGTGATGTTAGTAATGTAGTATAATAGTATAATAGTGTAGTAGTATAATAGTTAGTGTGATGTTAGTAATGTAGTATAAAAATATACTAGTATAATAGTTAGTGTGATGTTTGTGATGTTAGTAATGTAGTATAATAATATAATAGTATAATAGTTAGTATAATAGTGTACTAGTATAATAGTTAGTGTGATGTTTGTGATGTTAGTAATGTAGTATAATAGTATAATAGTTAGTATAATAGTTTGTGTAATGTTTGTGATGTTAGTAATGTAGTATACTAGTATAATAGTGTAGTAGTATAATAGTTAGTGTGATGTTTGTGATGTTAGTAATGTAGTATAATAATATAATAGTATAATAGTTAGTATAATAGTTCGTGTAATGTTTGTGATGTTAGTAATGTAGTATAATAGTGTAGTAGTATAATAGTTAGTGTGATGTTTGTGATGTTAGTCATGTAGTATAATAATATAATAGTATAATAATATAATAGCATAATAGTGTAATGTTTGTGATGTTAGTAATGTAGTATATTAGTATAATAGTATAATATAATAGTTAGTATAATAGTTTGTGTAATGTTTGTGTAATGTTTGTGATGTTAGTAATGTAGTATAATATAATAGTATAGTAGTTTGTGTAATGTTTGTGTAATGTTTGTGATGTTAGTAATGTAGTATACTAGTATAATAATATAATAGTTAGTATAATAGTTAGTGTAATGTTTGTGATGTTAGTAATGTAGTATAATAGTGTAGTAGTATAATAGTTAGTGTGATGTTTGTGATGTTAGTAATGTAGTATAATAATATAATAGTATAGTAGTTAGTGTAATAGTTAGTGTAATGTTTGTGTAATGTTTGTGTAATGTTAGTGTAATGTTTGTGATGTTAGTAATGTAGTATAATAGTTAGTATAATAGTTAGTATAATAGTTGGTATAATGTTTGTGTAATGTTTAGGAGTAACCTGAAATCAGCTCGTCTCCCGCACTGTACACGAACCGCCTCCCGCACTGTCCCACGGACGTGGCCGGAAGTGGAGCCACGTGACCGGATATGGAGGGGCGGAGCCACGTGGTCGACGATATATCGCGATATACTTCGACGATATATCGCGATATATACGTATGGCAATAGCGGTTTATCGCGATACGATATCTCATTGCCGCGATGTGCCTTTGCGATATATCGCGATATGTAACGTAAGGTGGTCATATTGCGTATAATATACTAGCCATGTGGACTCACTCACACACTCACTCACCCACTCACTCACTCACCCAGTCACTCACTCACCCACTCACTCACCCACTCACTCACACACTCACCCAGTCACTCACTCACCCACTCACTCACACACTCACTCACCCACTCACTCACCCACTCACTCACTCACCCAGTCACTCACTCACCCACTCACTCACCCACTCACTCACACACTCACCCAGTCACTCACTCACCCACTCACTCACACACTCACTCACCCACTCACTCACCCACTCACTCACTCACCCACTCACTCACTCACCCAGTCACCCACTCACTCACTCACCCAGTCACTCACTCACCCACTCACTCACCCAGTCACTCACCCACTCACTCACCCACTCACTCACACACTCACTCACTCACCCACCCACTCACTCACTCACCCAGTCACTCACCCACTCACTCACCCACTCACTCACCCACTCACTCACACACTCACTCACCCACTCACTCACTCACCTAGTCACTCACCCACTCACTCACCCACTCACTCACTCACCCACTCACTCACCCACTCACTCACTCACACACTCGCACACTCACTCACCCACCCACTCACTCACCCAGTCACTCACCCACTCACTCACCCACTCACTCACCCATTCACTCACTCACACACTCACTCACTCACCCAGTCACTCACTCACTCACCCAGTCACTCACCCACTCATTCACCCACTCACTCATTCACCCACTCACACACTCACTCATTCACCCACTCACTCACACACTCACTCACTCACCCACTCACTCACTCACCCAGTCACTCACCCACTCACTCACCCAGTCACTCACCCACTCACTCACCCACTCACTCACTCACCCACTCACCCACTCACACACTCACTCATTCACCCACTCACACACTCATTCACCCACTCACACACTCACTCACCACCCACTCACACACTCACTCACTCACACACTCGCCCACTCACTCACTCACCCACTCACTCACTCACACACTCACACACTCACCCACTCACTCACACATTCACTCACCCACTCACTCACTCACCCACTCACTCACACACTCACTCACCCACTCACTCACACAATCATCCACTCACACACTCACACACACACTAACCCACTCACTCATTCACCCACTTACACACTCACTCATTCACCCACTCACTCATTCACCCACTCACACACTCATTCACCCACTCACACACTCACTAATTCACCCACTCACACACTCATTCACCCACTCACACACTCATTCACCCACTCACACACTCACTCACCCACTCACTCACTCATCCACTCACCACCCACTCACTCACTCACCCACTCACTCACCACCCACTCACTCACTCACCCACTCACTCACCACCCACTCACCCACTCACTCACTCACCCACTCACTCACAACAACAACCGCCATTCGCCACTAAGTGGCGGTGACGTCACCACGACGCTTGTGCCAGGCTATGTGCACCTTGAGGCCACGTGGAGTGTCGAACGCCCGCGGGCAGGAGGTCACGGGGCAGACCCAGCAGGTGCCACGGGTCGACTGACTGAGATGACTGAGATGACTGGCTGATGCACCACCTGTGCCCCCTACTGTGCCAACCCGCTGTGCTTTAGCCACCCGGCGCTCCGCTCGTTGTTGTGAGCGTCGCTCCTCCGCCCTCCGTTGTTGTTGGAGGGCGACTGCCTCCAACTGCCCAGTAGCGTCCTTCACGAGCCTCCTCCACAGAGGCCGATCTTGACGCCGCTGGTACCGGTCATCGGCAAGTCCACTCAGCTCCACGTCCTCCTGTACCACGTCACTCCATCTCTTCTCTAGCCCGTGCCGCGCCCGTTTAGCCCCCTCAATCCGGCCGAACAAAAGCTGTTTCGGCATGCGGTGGCTGGGCATGCGGGCTACATGACCCAGCCATCGCAGCCTTGCCCGCCGGAGGAGCTCACCGATGGGACTTTGTCCAGGATTTTTGAGCTCCTCACACAATCCAGCCTGGTTAAACCCAGGATGGATCGTAGGCAGGCCAGCCTAAATGTTTCTAACCGGCGAAGATGTTCCATTAGGGGGGTCCACGTTTCGCAAACGTAGAGAAGGGAGGGAATGACCGTGGCCGAGAAGACCCCGAAGCTTCGTGCGGAGCGACAGCCCAGGTAGCTTCCACACAGCGTTACGCAACCGACGAAAAGATATTGCCGCTCGACTGATGCGGAGTTGACGCCTCTATCCAATCGGAGGTGCTCATAATAAGCACACTGCCCCAGGTATGGGGAAACTCGCCAACCCTCCTCCACAACTGCTCCATCAACAATGGGGAGCCGAGATGGATCAGCCTCCCCACTGCATTTTTAACCAGGTGGAAATTCCTTCCGGTGCGGCCAATTGGAAGCTTCTCGAGGCACGTGGCCAAAGGTGATGGATACATGACGTGGGAGCCAGAGGACATCCCTGTCGCACCCCTCAAAGGTGAACAGGGAACGGCTCCGACTCACGGCCACGTAGTTTTTATTTTATTTTTTTTACCCGGGACCTCCCACCATCATGAACGTCCTTAGTGATCGTGAGCAGAGGGTCTGGGACTCCAAAATGCACGGAGAACAACTCAGAGCCCAGGGCCTGTGGATGGATGCGCCGATGCCAGAACGTGTTCGTAATCACAAGTTATATACTTCAGCCCCTTGGTGTTAGTTAGACTTTTAACCCTTATTATTATTATTATTATAGTAAGACTTGTTTAAAACTTATTTGAGATTTTAGATTCCTATATGTTGAATGAATGCATCATCCTGCCAAAGTAAATTCCGTGTCGGTGTGAACTTTCATGGCGAATAAAACCCTTTCTGATTCTGATGGGCTTCTATTACTAGTGAGATGATCCGATCCATGCCCTGCAATCACTCCAGACCAGGTGCCAGCATCATGACCAAGTGGGGAATGAAAGGCACCTGAACAGGATGACTCTATCCCGAGGGGCCACTTTAGCCAGCACCTGTGACAGGAGGTCATAGAAGGCATCTGACTCATCGGCCTTGCCTGCATCCCTCCACTGATGTTCATCTTCGGTGGGGGCATAAGTAACCACGACCACCATTCCTCACCTGTTGTTGATGGGGAGGGGAGCCAACACTCACTCACCCACTCACTCAACCACACTCACCCACCCACACTCACCCACACACTCACCCACTCACTCAACCACACTCACTCACCCACACTCACCCACCGACCCACTCACCCACTCACCCACCCACTCAACCACACACTCACCCACCCACTCAACCACACACTCACCCACCCACTCACCCACCCACTCACCCACTCAACCACACACTCACTCACCCACTCACCCACCCACACTCACCCACCCACTCACCCACCCACTCAACCACACACTCAGTCACCCACACTCACCCACCCACTCTCATCCACCCACTCTCATCCACCCACTCAGTCACCCACACTCACCCACCCACTCACCCACGCACTCACTCACGCACTCACTCACGCATTCAACCACCCACTCACCCAACCACTCAACCACCCACTCACTCACCCACTCACCCACCCACCCACTCACCCACTCACCCACCCACACCCATCCACCCACTCACCCACCCACTCAACCACACACTCAGTCACCCACACTCACCCACCCACTCACCCACCCACACTCACTCACCCACACTCGCTCACGCACTCACTCACGCACTCACCCACCCACTCAACCACCCACTCACTCACCCACACTCACTCACCCAGACTCACCCATATCCACCCACACTCACCAACCCAGACTCACCCACCCATATCCACCCACACTCACTCACCCACTCATCCACCCACACTCACCCACACTCACCCACCCACTCACCCACCCACTCAACCACACACTCAGTCACCCACACTCACCCACACACTCAGTCACCCACACTCACCCACCCACTCACCCACCCACCCACTCACCCACTCACCCACCCACACTCATCCACCCACTCACCCACCCACTCAACCACACACTCACCCACACACTCAGTCACCCACACTCACCCACCCACTCACCCACCCACCCACTCACCCACTCACCCACCCACACTCACCCACCCACACTCATCCACCCACTCACCCACCCACTCAACCACACACTCACCCACCCACTCAACCACACACTCAGTCAGCCACACTCACCCACTCACCCACGCACCCACTCACCCACTCACCCACCCACCCACTCACCCACCCACACTCATCCACCCACCCACTCAACCACACACTCACCCACCCACTCAACCACACACTCACCCACCCACACAGTCACCCACACTCACCCACCCACTCACCCACTCACCCACCCACCCACACTCATCCACCCACTCACCCACCCACTCAACCACACACTCACCCACTCGCCCACCCACTCAGTCACCCACACTCACCCACCCACTCTCATCTACCCACTCACCCACCCACTCAACCACACACTCAGTCACCCACACTCACCCACTCGCCCACCCACTCAGTCACCCACACTCACCCACCCACTCACCCACCCACCCACCCACTCACCCACACTCATCCACCCACACACTCAGTCACCCACACTCACCCACCCACTCACCCACCCAGACTCACTCACCCACACTCACTCACGCACTCACTCACCCACCCACTCAACCACCCACTCACTCACCCATATCCACCCACACTCACCCACCCACACTCAACCACCCAGACTCACGCACCCACTCAGTCACCCACACTCACCCACCCACTCACCCACCCACTCAACCACCCACTCAACCACCCACTCAACCACCCACTCAACCACCCA